ATGATCATATATTAAAATGATGTAGAACACAACCAGATTCAATCAAGAATACGATCTCGATATCAAAAGATAAATTTTGACAATGCATAAACCACAATTGCTTTTTTAACAAGTTAATAAGTGTGAAAATGAGTAGTGCGAAACGATGTTGGAAATCGTTAGAAGATCAAATCCCTACGTTAAGGAATTCAACTTATTTGGTCAGTTACATAGCTGGTTAGAGAAACACTTCGTAAGATTCAGTACAAATTCCAAAATAGACATATCAGTATAAAACAGTACCATCTGAATCCATACATTTGTCATCTTCATTGAATTTCTAACTAGTCATCACTACCGATCATTTATCTACTCTGAACTAGCAATATTAAAGACTCAAAAAAAAACGCCGAATCTACTCGTCCATTCAGAAAATAAACTCGCTTATGTTACAAAGTTAGCATAGAATAACATTTATTAGTAATCAGCGTCTAACTTTTCTCGATGGAAGGAAAGGAAAAGTTCGAAACATCCACTACTACGAGTAGAGAGTAGAGCTTCTTGAGTTCAGGTAATAATGATTGAGGTCCAAATAACCTCATTATGATTTCAACAGAATCAGAAAAGATCTATTCTAATCTATGTTGCTTAGTTTTAGGTCGTTTCATCACACAATTTAACAATTGGTGGTGAAACAGATGCGCGAGATCAAAACTTCCATGTTATATAAAAACGCAGAGAAATGACATTTGATTACTAATGTAATGTGAATAATCAATATTTCTCTCCAATAGTACATTCACCGTAATTTAATTGTTCATATTACTGTAGAATTAGAGGAAAAATCAAAATATTATCTATAAATAAAACATGATATGTTATACTGTCTGACGAGTAGTGGAATCAAACAGTGAATAAATCGATAAAATCCAGGAACGGTTTGTATACATTATGGCCGTGGTGAGCTATAATTTTCAGTGCATAGTAAAGCTGGAATGGGAACGATCTCAAACGATCGATATTCTCATCAATAAACAGGAGTGTAATTCAATATTTTCTTCGGTAATCATATATTTACTTAACACCATGCAAAATTATATTATTTCATTAAAAGAATTCTATAGTTTGAGTAATTTATAGTTCTATTTCTGAATGAATTGCAGTGAAAACGTTTCATCAGTCAGTAGTGAAAACATAAGCATTAAAATTGTAACAGAATGATGAGCAAAATCAATAATGCGTATGTGTGTGTAGTGCAAAACATTCCAGCTTGAAATGATTGTAAAGTTCCTATAAAAAACAGTTGTACATGCAAACAAACAAAAAAGTACACACACACAACTTTTCTCGATGGAAGGAAAGGAAAAGTTCGAAACATTCACTACTACGATCAAGAGTAGAATTCGAAATATACGGATCGAAGCATTCAAAAATTGACTGCTATAGTGTAGTTCTGAGGAAATCACAGGAATGCGTAATAGGAAGCATTATAACGAAAACTGCATTACATAGTTGTAACAAAGTTGTTGCTTTACGATATTTTAGTCATGTGACTAACTTGATATCGTCTTCAATAACGAACGTTTGGTCGTCGTCAATGAAAGGAGGGAACTGGAACTCGTAGCTGCACACTGCATCCTGTTGCTTTGAAATGACAATTGCTAAGCACACATGGAGGACTATGTCGTCACTAAGCGGGCACTACACACCTTCATAAAATGTCAGCATGTCTCATGACAACACGTCGTGCATGAATGTCTCGTCTCGTATGTTTATCTTTTCAGTGATATTTGATCGTTAATAGTATTGACGTTCGTATTAACTGTTCACTTCATAAAATTACATAACAATATACATACAAGTTATAATGAGATATTGACACAAATAAATGGACCACAAGAAGAAGATTAAACGAATAAAATCATTATTTACAAGCTCTCATACCAACCACCAACTTACAAAAACTATATAGGCGTTAAAACGAAAGCTTGAATTATGTTTATGAAATAAACTATGAAATTTGACTATAATTCAATTCTTAATTATTATCGACCAGTACTGAAGACCTCAATATCTTCCATTATTAGTGTTGATAGTGATTCCGTGTAAGTCTACAGACTCTCATAAAATAGGATGAAAGTTGGAACAAATGCAATCATTGAAATGAGTGCATTGAAACATAGGATATGTCCATTTGTAGAGTAGAACCTTCAGAAGTATGAAGAAATATTGAGAAAAATATACGTACATTTTCATGAATGCGAAATATACCCTCCATCTGGAGTTGGCAAAAAACCGTATGAGGTAAGATCTTCTATTAAAATTATATTCAGATTCTCACTTATTAAAGAAATCAGTCCAATAAAGAATTCAAGTGATTTCTGAGCTAACTAAAAATTAACAGTACAATAGAAAATACTTAATGTTATGTTGTTCACATCTATTTCATAAGTCTTAAGTGTGTAATAGCACAGATATGTTAAAAGTGCATTAACGATTGAAAATTTAAATCATAGAATATGTATTGAACGTCATTAAGCATTTCAACCGAAGGCGAACCGAACTGAATGCAACCTTTATAGGGACATATACTTATTGCCTTAGGCGAAAAGGGGAATAAGCATTCTAAAAAACAACCAAAATACGTATATTAAAATATCCAAGTACATATGAATATAATCTGGATCTTAATGATGAAGAAGTTGAAATTGCTTTTCAAAAATTATAGAAAAAAAATCACTTTTCTAGGTAAACATTTGCAATCGCAAAAAGAAATTGATTAGTGGACGAAGAAATAAATATATCAGCTGTACGTGTATGATATAGAAAAAAAAATTCCCAATAACTAACTGTAAAACACGTTCGATCAATTTTCAAAGCGATAACGAGCAACACAGCAAACAGAGACGCAGGAGATAACATGAAAATTATTGATCGCAAATTTCTGCCATTGATCGTTAAGGCGTGAAATAATGACTCGACATTTAAAGATTGTATAGTCATTCACAGATAGTTTTTTTCATGAGTTGTAACAGAATGAATAACAATAGCATAAGATGACGACGATTATAATAAGCGTTCGAGTAGCTAAATCGATATGCATAAGATCTATTAACCGTTTCAATCGATTTCGTAATGTTTGACTAGGATTACAGCATCGTCACTGGCCACCTGAAAAATCCAGTCCTTGGCTGAATGTAATACGTATAATTACTTTCAGAAAACATAACGATGATTTATGTATCATATATCGAGTAACATAGCAACTTTTCACTCATAACATTTAGTAACATACTCTCGCTATACCTCTTGTAACTATGAAAGCTCAAAAATAAACGCAGAAAACACTTGAGTTTCATTTCTGCAAATGCAATTGAAGTCTAGTCATATGAAAATTGAAGCCTGCAGCGTTAATACTTTGCAGCATGTCATTAAGCAAGCGTAAATATATAGCATAGTGAAGTAGAATGAATATGAAAAGCAGTGAGTATTCAAACAAATAAGCTATGAAACATCCTGAAGAATACGGAAAAATAACAATAACATTAAACCGTAATATGATATCTGTTGTGAAGACGTAACAATACTACATTCAAGTAATTCTAATTAGCATACGCCTTCTTATCACTCATTTTACCTCTTCAACACTAGTCACAAATTTTGCGATACTAACTCAAATGTTTCCTCATATATAAAAAATAAAACAGTAGAAACCATCAGCAACATCAGATGGCTTTCCAACGAATGTTACGTTATCTTCTCGATTTTTCTGTTCCATATATTTTTCATGCAACTGATTTGCAATCAATTGTTCCATTACGGATTTTTGTATGTCATTCACAAAATCGGAAGTACGTAGTTACGTCATATGCTTACCGAATATCCAGAATTTTGCTTTATTGTCACAAACAATGTTCATAATCGAGGTAGTTTAACAGATTGATGTCTTTTTTAATCAATAAACTTTTCATAATGAGACTCACGAGGAGAATCTCACGATTATAACGTGTTCGATTCCTCGATCACACTAATCGCTCTTTTCTTTCGTTTGTTCTTACAAATTTTCATTCTTTGAAGAACTGAGCTACTTGGAAAAAATATAGCGCTGCAGAGGATTACACTACACCATCATAATCATCATATTTTCAGTGATCATTGATGGAGTTCTGATCCTCAATACATTTTCCTCCCACTGATATTTATTATTACTTTTATTTTAAGCATTTTACATAGGATATGAAATAGAAAAATATGTCTATATTACTGCATTGAAAAGATGTAGTATATCAGATGACATTCTCAAAAACTGTATTATTTTGAGGATCAAAAGTCAATTTTAGATTATACATACGTTATCACAATGACAATTACCTTTTCTGAGTGATTTTTTCGAGCTTTAATTATGAACATGAATGAAATTCCAATTTATTAGTGAAAGAAATATTGAAATGGATATGAGTGAATACATTAAGATCGTCAAAAATTGCTGTTTGAAATTGAAAATTGGATTTGTTTATCAGTGCATCGAGTCAAAAAATTGCCTCATTTTTAATGCTTTAATGATTCAAATTGTTCGCGTTCAAACTTTTGAAATTCTACATCATCATAGAATAAATAATTCTAATACATTTGCAATGATAAAATGACAGCTATGCTCTTTAATGCCAACCATGGTGTGCTCTTTTCTAAGTAAAAGAAAAACAAAAAGCAGAAAAAAACTAGTAACGACAAGAATTCGGTCAAAAATACATTAAATTGTCGTTCAATTTCAATGAAAAAGGAATACTAAAAATTATCGAACCACATCTCAAATGAAGATCACAAAACATCGAACTATCTACTAACCTCATTTTCTCGTCATAACAATTTTAGTGTGCAATACAAATCATATCACAAGATCCAATCTAAAGTGTACAATTACCGTTTAAAAAACAAAGGAAGTAATGTTGGGCCTTAACGTGAACTGTCCATCTTGCGGTAGCGATATTCAATTACCGACATTTGAAATTGTGCAGAACTTCCGAACACGGCAGGATTCGAACCTGTCTTCCTAATCTTCTGCTCCGTAGGCAAACGCGTTATCCATTGCGCCATACGCTTCTTGCCAAGTTCGTATTATGTTCTATTTCTGCAGTCCTTCGCTATTCCACAATTGTAACGTGATTTATCACTAACTGCATGTAAATCTAATCGACCACTATACGATTCAAATTGCAGTTTACTACAGTACATTTGACAACAGTGATATTAAAGTATTGTGCAAAATTTCCGACCATTGGAGCATTCAAACATTCAGTCTTCTGTAGTACATTAGCCCACAACAATACTAAAATTCTTTGAACTTTTGACCACGGCAGCATTCAAATATCCAAGCTTCTGCAACACATTAGCCCACGGGAATATTCCAGCTTTTGGAAAACTTCCGGCCACGGCAGCATTATAAAGTCTAATCTTTTCCAGTTCATTTGAACATGGCTGTATTAAACATAGTCAAAAATCCTCGACCACGACAGGATTTCAACCTACAACCTTCTGCTTCGTACGTAGGCATCCATTGCGCCACGCGTACTGCTCATTTAGAATTGTTGATATATCGATTTCTCAGATATGTGTACGTGTAGAGTTGTGTCTCCTCATCCTATTGAACCCAATTCAACCTCATTGAGAATTATGTTGATTAGATACATACTTTGTTTACATAATGGATTATTGCGCCTAATGTTGTTGAATCATGTTTTTTACAGTTCTCGATAAACTTGTTGCCCATTCACCAACCAACATATTTGTGTGCCAGTTAATCAGTAAGGTCGAAAAATGAAGGATTCGAAATTGATACTTAAATCAATAATAAGTGTTAGATTTAAAAGCTTAAATATCACTATATGAGTAAATTTCTGAACCAAAACTTCTAAAGATATCACTCTTACTGTTGATCATACTAGCAGCTTATTTGTAGAAAAAGTGATATGTCCGTATGAAGTCTTTAAGATTTCTATTGGTTTGAAATCTATTACTTATAACTAGCAAGAAAGGTGTATAAATATGAGTTAATTGCTCATGATTTCATTTCAATTGGCAAAATAACAAGGCAAGGAAGAGGTAATAAGTGCACTCAATGAAAAGCATCCCCAGAGAGCCAATAAGTATAAATTCCGGAGATGTGTGTAACTTTTGCGTTCATCGACCTCGAGTATCGCTTTTTATCGATCCACGACGCATTTTAAATAACTAACGTCGTTGTTATCGTCGTACGAACGTAGTGTACGAAAATATTCTATTCTGTTATGTAGGATAAACTAAAGTAAACATTTACGATACAAAATTTATAGGCGTAATAGTCTTTCAGATAAGCGCACTTGACGTGTTTCTTGTAGGATTAAAGAAAAAAGCTGTAAGCATACATTTTACGAAAATTAATGAATATTGATTTATTCTGCCTTAAATGTATACAGCCTCAGATTGCTAGCACTTTGCGACATCGGAAAACGCTGAAATGAATCAGAAATCTATCTAAGCACAAAAAAAGCTAACTGAAAGATATCTCACATTACTATGACAACGCCAGAGCGATGGGAACAAATCGGTTGACCATGTATTTACTTACTACCAGACATCGCTAAGAATAAAGATAAATTTACATTTTAAAATTTTGTTACTCAGCTGAACAGCTGAACAAACCTGATGATAAAACACGAATGAGAAGCTCATAGTTAGCTGTCGATAAACTGGAAATTTTAGTAAAGAGTTTGACGAGGTTATATATAGAGGGGTTGTGAGAAGCTGTAGAATCAACAGATTGGATGTTATCGAACTAAAACTTTTTTATATCATCGATCTTATGCTGTAGTCAAAAATAGAGATTCTATTCATAAAATTTCAATGAACATTGAAATACAAAGCAAATAGATATGTAATGACAATAGGACAGCAATCATTTATATGATTATTGCATTATTTATAACAACAATATAAAAATCACATTGCTTTAGCTATTTAAAACGTAGAGTGACAATCTAAATTGTTCAGTCTGAACACAACACAGATAATTGTAGAACTGTTAAATTGTTAAAAATGATGGCTTATCAGAAACAATTTCTAGTTGATTAGTAATTCACGTGATATTTTGGATGGATAATTTTAAATTGTAAGCCGTATATGAACGTAATCAAAAATATTATCATAATATTATTATCGATTATCAAAAAATATAGAAACGACGAAAAAATGAAATTGATTACGCAAGAATATATGCGCAGTGGTTTCTAGAAATCACTGAAATCCACAGATAATCTGATACTTTGATAAGAGAGAAAAAAGAAACAAAGTTTTTCTAGTAGTCTAATATTTTCAATAACATATCAAATGGAAAACAATGACCTGTTACTACGATTAAAGCAAACGGGATGCAACGCGGCCTAATCGCAAACCGATCGAATTTTGCACTTCTGTTACACTCACACGCCAAATACGGCCAGTAACGTCGTCAACCAAGCAACGACATTTTCATTGAGGATTATATAGAAAAAT